CCACCTCGGCCCTCGACCCGGGGCCCCCCCAGGCCTGGTTTGCTGAGCGCTTTCAGCAAACGCTTTTTTGCGTGAAGTGATAGGCTCGCGTGGCTTTCGTTCACCTCTTAGTCAAGTGGATTTGGTCGGTTTTTTTAAACGTGCCCTCCCTCCTGTTACAAATTCCTGGGCTCTGTTCGCTTATTCTGCGCTGAGGATTTTTGCATCTATGTTCCTGAGGGATGTTCGCCTCTATTTCGGGGGCGGGGGCGGGTCGTGTTTCTGTCTGGTTGTGGCATCGGGGAAACGCTGAGCTCGTGCAGTGAGCGGGGGCGTGTTGTCTGTCTCCTCGTCCGCTTTCTACAGGAGGTTGTATAGAATGGGTGCTAATTCTTCGTTTGATGGAATTTTCCATTGAAACCACATGGGCCTGGAAATTTCTATAGTTGAAGCTTTTAAATTACAAATTTAGTTTCTCCGGCCGGCCGAGTGGCTCAGTTGGTTAAGAGCTCGCTCAAGAGTGTGAGTGCTGAGCAACAGGGTCGCCGGTTCGATTTCTGCCAGAGCTGAGCTCAGCTTAAAAAAAAAAAAAAAAGGCAAAAAAAAAATACAAACTCAGTTTCTCTAGTTTTTATAGTACTATTCATATTATGAGTTTCATCTTGGGAGAGTTATAGGTGTCTTGGGTTTTTTGAAATTGATTGATTTCATCCAGCGTGTTCAGTTCACTTGTGCAGATTTGTTTGTAGTATTCCCTTATTAGCCAGTGAATGTGTGTGGAGTCTAGTGATACCCTTCGTCCATTCCTGAGATCGGCCGTTTCTGTCTTCTCTCTCTTTTTTAGCATTGCTAGAGCTTTATGAATTTTATTAATCTTTTCAATGAACCAACTTTTGGTTGATTGGGTTTTCCGTCATTGTTTTTCTAGTTTCAAATTTCATTGGTTCTTTTCTTTATTATTTTCTTCTTTCTGCTTGCTTTGCATTTATTTTACTCTTTTTCTAGATTCTTGAGGTGAAACTTTAGGTTATTGATTTGAGGCTTTTTAATGTTCAATATAAATATTCTAGAGCTATGTATTTCCCTCTAAACACAACTTTAGCTGCTCCCACAAGTTTTTTTATATTGTATTTTAATTTTCATCCACTTCAGTGTGTTTTTTGATTTCCCTTGAAACTTCCTCCTTGACTTATGGATTGTTTAGGAGTGTGTTTTATTTTCATGTTAAAGTGTTTGGAGATTTTCCTTGTTTTTTTTTTTCTTTCTGTTACTGATTCTGGTGTGATTCTTTTATGGTCAGAGAACATACTGTATGTGATTTAAATTCTTTTAAATTTGTTGAGGTTTGTTTTATGGACCAAGATCCAGTCTATATTGGTGAATTTTCCAAATGCACTTGAAAAGAAAGTGTACTCCATTGCTTAGTGGAGTGTTGTATAAATGTCCACTTGACCCTATTAATTGATTATGTTCAATTCTTCCATATCCTTGCTGATTTTCTCTCTAGTGGTCCAGGATTACCTGGAGAGGGGTATTGAAACCCCTAACTATAATTGTGTCTTTCTTTGTCTTTTTCTTTCACTTCATGTATTTTAAAGCTGTACTATTTGGTGCATATGTATTTAGGATTTTTTTTTTTTAAAGATTTCATTGGGGGAATTGGGGGATGGGAACAGTGCTGGGGAATTGGGGAAAGGGGAACAGACAAGTTGCTGTCGTTTTGTTCTTCAGTCTAGTTGTAGAGGATGTTGC